AAACTATTTTTGGAAAATCTTGGATCGTTGTCTTTTTGGATGTCATGTTATTGTTTGTATGTTTGTATAATGTCTAATAAAAAATAAATAAATAAATAAATAAAAAAATGGTCTTAATAAGTCTTTATTTTTGCATTAGACTAGTCTAAGAGCACATTTTAGACTTGTCTAACACTATAGACCGGTCTAAAATAGCTTTGTGAAACCGGCCTCTCTCTCTCTCTCTCTCCATCACATCAATCTCTCATCGACCCGCATCCAGCAGTAATTATAGAGGAAAGCCCGGCTCAGTGCTTTATTTAGGAGAAAGGTTCAAAGGACAGAATGAAGACGACGAAAGATCACAAAACAGGAGCAGAATAAATATTGATCTTTAACAGAATAGTGTAATGATGCTTTTCAATCAAAACATTCATCCGATTGGAGAAAAACTAAAAAGTACAACGTCTCTCTTCACGGAAAGCAAAAGAGACAAATTAAAACAAATTAATATTACAGTTGTAAGTGTATATTAAAGTAATATATTGAAAGTCTGTTTTCAGTAAGTCTCTTCTGCTCACCATGCATTTCTGTGATCAAAAATACACTACATTTTTCAAAAAATTATTATAATTTAAAACATCAGTTTTCTATGTGAAAATATAGTAAAGTGTTATTCCTGTGAATTTATCATCATTACTCCAGTCTTCAGTGTCACATGATCCTTCACAAATCACTCTAATATGAGGATCTGATGATCAAGAAAGAGTTATGATTATTATCAATGTTCAAAACACTTCATATTTCCTTGGAAACTGAGATACATTTTATTTTTCAGGATTCTTTGATGAATAAAGTTCAAAAGAACAGCATTTATTTGGAATATAATCTTTTGTAACATTATAAATGTCTTTACCGTCACTTCTGATCAATTAAGTGTCTTTGATAAACCAAAAATAAAAAATAAAAAAATAAATGTTTTAATCCAAAAGTTATAATGATGAATGCATGAAAACATATTCAAGGATAAAATACTGTAATTGAAATCTACGGAGGCGTATTACATTCACTTGAAGAAAAAAAATCTACTCTGTTTTTCTGAATTAACGTGTTAATTATCTCAGAATTACGAGATCATTTTTCATGAGGAAAAAAAGTTTTGCTCTGTTTTTCTGAATTAACGAGTTAACTTTTCATGGAATTTATTTTTTGCTCTGTTTTTCTAAATTAACTTCGTTAATTCAGAAAAACAGAGCAAAAACTTTTTTCCATGAAAAATTTTCTCGTAATTCTGCGATAATTAACTTATATTCAGAAAAACAGAGTAGATTTTTTTTCTTCAAGTGAATGCAATATGCCTCAGTAGAAATGCCCAACTGATTACTTTATTTGATTCGATTCACACAATAATAACACGGCTTTTCAAAATGTGTTATTTGATATTCCCATAAGCTAATAATGTTAATCAGCGTTAAATAACCGTTAATATGAAATAAAAACCTAACCAGAAACCGGGCAGATGGAAAGCGTCCAGAAACACAAGCAAGTGTGTTTTAGGCCGTGTGTGTTCACCACAGGTTTGAGAGGAAGTCACGTCCGGTTGGGCAGAGACGTTCGCCCTCGTCCCGTCCTTAAATAAGTGGAAATCACTATCTCTACCTGCCACACACACACACACACACACACACTTCTGTAAGCTTCATTCTTCTCGTAAACACAAACCTTTGGCTCCTTGACAGCCCAGTTATTACACTCGCAACACACACACACACACACACACGTATCCCATAAATCCTGCTGAGGCTCAGAACGATGAAAGCTTTTCCAGGTGCTTAAACCTACAAACACACACACACTTCAAAAGAGAGTTTAAATGGAGAAACTTTATCCACACACACACAGAAAGAGAGAGAGGGGTTCACAACACATCACATGATGCTGGAGAATATCTCTCTGTGGGAGAGTGACATAAACACTGTGAAAGTCAGAACGAGAAGCTGTTCTATCACTGTTTTTACTGGAAAAACACCTTTAAAAGGAAGATATGAAGAGTTCAGATGCAAAAGCCTCTAAACGCCATTTGAAATTTTCTTCTTTAATGATGATTTTTATCAAACTTGTATATTTAAGTTCAGTAATTTCACTTAAATAACAATTAATAGGTAATTATCATTGCCATTTAAGTGAAATCACTGAACTTAAATATACAAGCTTGATAAAAATGATCATTAAAGAAGAAAATTTCAAATGGCACTTAGAGGCTTTTGCATCTGAACTCTTCATATATTTACTTGAGAAGCAAAATTGCACAAGATATTGATAGTCGTTTTTAGAGAACATAATTTACATATAGAGTATAGACCCGAGGCTATTCTCGGAAAACAAGGTAACTAGTATAATGTATTAACGCTGAATGTAAGGCATTTTGGAAAAAGGCAAATACATGTAAATAAATGAAAGCTGACAGAAGAGCAACTTTGACTGAAATAACCACTCGTTACAACCGAGGTATGCAGCGAAGCATTTGTGAAGAAGACACAACACACACAACCTTGAGGCGGATGAAGACCCCATCGGGTACCACTCATCTCCACTACAAATAGGAAAAAGAGGCGACAATTTGCAAGAGCTCACCAAAATTGGCCAGTTGAAGACTGGAAAAATGTTGCCTGGTCTGATGAGTCTGGATTTGGCGTAAACAGAATGAGAACATGGATCCATCATTTAAATGCTACGGCGTACCTGAGCATTGTTGTCCATCCCTTTATGGCCACAATGGACCTCTGATGGCAACTTCCAGGATAATGCACCATGTCACAAAGCTGAAATCATTTCACATTGGTTTCTTGAACATGACAATGAGTTGACTGTACTAAAATGTAGGGCTGGGTATTGACACAAATTTCACAATTCGATTCGATTTCGATTCATTCAATATTTATTTTTGGATATCAGTTACAATAAATGGCTAATTTTCTCAAGGAAATCAAATCTCTTAACTAATGCTGTAAACTATGGGAGTCTAGTTGTAGCCTACTAGGTTTCATTTGCCTAATATGAAGGTAATAATTAACTGTTTTTTTTTTTAAATTACACTTTTATTTATTTTTATAATAAGAAGATTATATGAAATATAAACATTTAAATGGTGGCTGTCATAAAAAAAACATGCCAGATTTATTCAAATATGCATTAAATATTTAAAAACATTAAGATTATAATGCATATGTAATATGGTGTATTTAGCAAAATGCTCCTCTCTAGAGTTATTTTTTCTAGCTGACTAACGAGTTTATGTGGGTTTTCTGAGGTAGGCTAAATATGACAATACATGACATTGTTTAGCTGTTAAACTGACGTCTTTCCACGGTTGAAACGCTGATTGAGCGAATCAATGTGACATGATCCGGATATCGATAAGTTGTACTCTATCTTTAACACACTTTCAGATGCTCATTCATGTTTATTTCGCGCTGGTCTGGTATTATTAACCCGGAAGAGATCAGCGCTGCTGCTTCTCCAGAGCGATCTCACGCCAGAGCGCCAAAACGCTATTTATGTTTTTGAATTTCTAAAGAAAATGGACGTAATTAGAAAATTGAGACTTTGTTTCATATCAATAGTCACAAAGGACAAAGATTATTGCGATTTTTTTTTGGATGCGCGCAGCCGCGATACAATGATCCATTCATTCAAATGAAACAGGATGACTAATCGATTCTTGAGATTTAAGCATCGATATCGGTTCGTAAAGATGAGAATCGATTAATATCGAGAAATCGATATTTATTACCCAGCCCTACTAAAATAGCCCCCACAGTCACCAGATCTCAACCCAATAGAGCATCTTTGGGATGTGGTGGAACGGGAGCTTCGCATCCCACAAATCTCCATCAACTGCAAGATGCTATCTATCAATATGGGCCAACATTTCTAAAGCACCTTGTTGAATCAACGCCACGTAGAATTAAGGTCAAACACAGTATTAGTGGGGTGCTCCTAATAATCCTTTAGGTGAGTGTAATTCTATAATGCTTCTCTCTCTCTCGCTTTTTCCACGTACTGTATTACAGACCTGTCTTAATTAAACATGATTATAATAATAGAAAACCCCCGACGTCAGCTGTCTGTGTCGGCAGCTCAAGAGAGGAACCAAGAGAAGAAGAAAATAAAGGAATCAACACATGCTCAACGACTGATAAGAGCTCAGAGAGCAGGACACCAGACAGAGATGATGAAGATGATGATGATGATGGACAGGTTTAAATCCAGAGGTCACAGATGCTGGTCTCGCTTTACCGTTCTTTCACCCGCCGACCCACGACTGCTTCAAAGCAAGTACTGAGAGAGTTAGTGAAAGCTGGATATATTTGATTAGATATTCTTTGATTTTAAAACAAACTTGCACTGATAAAGATGATGTGACAGATGTTCAGCAAAAAATACATTACATTGATCCAATTCGACCCTAAACATTGATAAAAATTGATAAAAATAAAAATTTGGTTGTAGAACTATTATTATAATTTAAATGGAAAGGGTCCTGAACTCAAAAACGGTTTGATTCACCAAAATCACAGCAAATCAGAGAATTTATGAAGAGTTCAGATGCAAAAGCCTCGAAGTGCCATTTGAAATTTTCTTCTAGAATGATGATTTTTATCAAGCTTGTATATTTAAGCTCAGTGATTTCACTTAAATGGCAATGATAATTACAATTGTTATTTAAGTGAAATTACTGAACTTGATGAAAATCATCATTAAAGAAGAAAATTTCAAATGGCATTTAGAGGCTTTTGCATCTGAACTCTTCACACATCTATGCTGAGCGAAATGTTCAACCATTGAGATTTACTCGGCACGTTGTGATGAAGATAGGAACCGGGCGACTCGCTGTTAGTGTCACTGATTAATTGATTAAAGTAACTTGAACACTTGTACACAGCAGATCAAAACAAATCAGACGTCTAATTGGAGAAAAAGTTTTCAACAGAGAGGAAAAGCACGAAGAAACAAATGACTCACAATCAAAAAAAGGGATGTTTTATTATTAACCAGATCTAAGCGCTGAGAATGAGATAAAGAAAAAACACTCTTACCCAACATCAATCGGTTTACAATTCACATTCCCAACAGAAACGTCACGCGCAGTTGTGTTTAGATATGATTTAAAACACTTTAAAGATCCCTTAAAGCTTTCAAGTGCGTGATGAGTTTACATGAGTTAACTATTCCTAACGGTCAGGAACAGAAACGGCAAAATACTCAAAAGAATTACACTCTCCTTTAGCTTTAGGAAGAAAACTGCATAGAGGATGAGAGGGATTATCATATGTACACCCACAAGTCATGTCATCGCTGATGACCTCCCAAAAAATATACAAAATCATTGATCACGTACACAGAAATAAGTCAGTAGAGCATGTCAGCTCCGAACTATTTCACAGCAGTAGAATTATATTTTAATCTCTTTATCCTTTTGTTCTGTACCTGAGTTTGGCTTTGGTTCTGGCTTTGTGTTCAAGGTCTCGCTGAGCGATCCTGATCCATAAAGGTGAAAAACAGACACACGGCGGTGGTGATGAGGGTGTGCATGGCCTCGTACAAGAGTTTGGGAGAAAACACGCTCCAGATGAAGAGGTGGTATCGCAGAGCGGTGACCAGAACCACGTAGAACACGACCGGGATGGACCGCAGGAGCGCGAAGCAATAGCTGCCATGACCGAGACCCATTACAGCCCTGAAAGACAGCAGAATAAAGTGTCATTATATCAATACTGTAGTCATAAAAGCGTCAGGTCTCATTGACTGTGGTTCATTGCTCATTTAAAGATAATGGAAAAGCTATTACTTCCTTTACTGAGCTTTGATTGTGTGTTATGTTTCACGACAAACGTCTGTGACGCATTCATTAAGACAGATGTCGGATTAGCAAGTCTAGTCGCAAACTTATTGAGACTGAGACTGAATGCACTTGACTAGACTAGATAATAATGACTGGAATGGATTTCACTGGAATTGGCAAGACTAAATTAGACTGAACTGATTGAGTGGATTATAGACTAGATTGGACTAGACTACTTTAAACTGAATGGGATGTAATAAACTAGAATGGGCAGGACTGGACTAAATTAGATGGCCTCAAACTATAAAGTGAACTGGAGTTGACGATAGACTGGACTATTTTGGGCTGAATTGGACTATAATAAACTGAACTGGACTAGCATGAACTGGAGTGGGCTAGGATGTATTAGATGACCTCATCATATAAACTGAATTGGACCAGAATATTTTGGCCTGATTTTGAATGGACAGGACTGGACTAGTTTGGACTGAAGATTAGATTAGATGGCCTCAAACTATAAACTGAACTGGACTGGAGTTCACGATAAACTGGAATGGACTAGACTACTTCGGGCTGAATTGGATTGGATTGGACTGGACTTAAATTATCTGAACTAGATTGGAGTTGATTATAGACTGAATTGGATTGGACTGGACTAGAATGATCTGAAATGGGCTAGACTAAATGAGATGACCTCAATTTAAAAAACAGGACTGGACTACCTTGCACTGAACTAGACCGGAGTTGATGATAGACTGGAATGGGCTAGACTACTTTGGACAAAATTTGAATGGACTGGACAAGAATGGCCTGAACTGGACTAGAATGGGCAAGACTGGTCTAGTACGGACTGAACATGAAATTTGATGACCTCAACCTACTGTATAAACTGGCCTGGACTAAACTATTTTGGACTGAATTTGAACGGAGTGAACTGGGCTAGACTGGACTGCAATGGACTAGAATGGACAGGACTGAACTAGTATGGGCTGAAGTTGGCTAGTCTAGTTTAGATGGCCTCAAACTATAAACTGAACTGGACTGGAGTTGATGATAGACTGGAATGGACTAGACTACTTCGGGCTGAATTGGATTGGTTTGGACTTAAATGATCTGAACTGGATTTGAGTTTATTATAGCCTGAATTGGATTGAACTGGATGGATAAATTAGATTACCTCAATTTACAAAACAGGACTGGGCTATCTTGCATTGAACTGGACTGGAGTTGATAATAGAATGTAGTGGGCTAGAACTAAAATGGGCAGAATTGGGCTAGTAGGACTGAAGTGGCTAGGCTAGATTAGATGACCTCACCTTAAAAACTGGACTGGATTAGACTACTTTGGACTGAATTTGAACAAACTAAACAGGTATGGACTAAAATGGGCTAGATTAGATTAGATAAGCAAAAATTATAAACTTGAACTGGACCAGAGTTGATGACAGAATGGAGTGGGCTAGACTGGACTGCAATGGGCTAGAACGGGCAGGACTGGGCTAGTATGAACTGAAGTAGGTTAGGTTAAATTGCATTGGACTAGACTAAACTACTTTGGAAGGAATTTGATAGGACTGTTCAAGAATTGACTGAACTGGTCTAGAATGGGCAGGACTGGACCATAATGAACTGAACTGGATTGAATTGGATTGGACTGGACTAAAATGAACTGAGCTGGATTGAATTAAATTGGACTGGACTATAATGAACTGAACTGGAGTTAATTATAGACTGAGTTAGATTGGACTGGACTAGAATGATCTGAAATGGGCTAGGCTAAATTAGATGACCTCAATTTACAAAAGAGGACTGGACTATCTTGCACTGAACTGGACAAGAGTTGATGACAGAATGGAGTGGGCTAGACTGGATTGGAATGGACTAGAATGGGCAGAACTGGGCTAGTTTGAACTGAAGTTGCTAGGCTAGATTAGATGACCTCACCATAAAAACTGGACTGGACTAGACTACTTTGGACAGAATTTGAATAGACAAGTATGGACTGAAATGGGCTAGATTAGATGACCTCAAATCATAAACTTGAACTGGACCGGAGTTGATGACAGATTGGAGTGGGCTAGACATTTACATTTATTCATTTAGCTGACGATTTTATCCGAATTAAGCGACTTACAAAGGCTAAATTGCATTGGACTAGACTAAACTACTTTGGAATTAATTTGATTGATCTGTTCAAGAATTGACTGAACTGGTCTAGAATGGGCATCCTGAACTTTAATGAACTGAACTGGATTGAATTGAAAGTGAACTGGACTGGAGTTGATTTTAGACTGAATTGAATTGGACTGGACTATAATTAAGTGAACTGGATTGGAGTTGATGGACTGAATTGGATTCGATTAGATGACCTCAACATACAAAACAGGACTGGACTACCTTGCACTGTTGATGACAGAATGGAGTGAGCTAGACTGGACTGAAATTGACAACAATTGGCAGGACTGGGCCAGTATGGCCTCAAGTAGGTTAGGCTAAATTGCACTGGACTAGACAATTTTGAATTTGATTGGACTGTTGAAGAATGGACTGAAGTGGGTTAGGCTGGTCCAACCTATATCATTACAATTCCTGTTTTGAACCAATACTTTGTGTCTCAGCCTGAAGAACAAGAGTATTATTCATACGATAGACCCCAGACTCCTGGATTTCAGGCTGTTGTATCAGACATCTTCTCTCTCGCCCTGGGCAAATCAATCTGAATGACTCCCACCCCGAGAGTTCAGCTTCTCCACGGAACAAACGCCCTCATTCCGTCTTCACATGCGTTTGGATGTAGGGCAGTTTCTACAGCGGCAACCAGCAAAAAAGCTCCAGTGTCTGCAGATACGAGTCAAAGGCATTCTGACATCAGCCTTGCAGTCAAAATGGAAGTTTATTGTTGTGGAGACATACATATTGCAGAATCCCCCAAAGTGGTAAACACAGTGGTTTGTCAATACTGAAATGACAAGAAAAACATTAGAAGAAAATAATCACGCATGCAGATCCAATCTTTCACAAACAGCGTGACTGCGTGAGCTGAAGATGCTCTCCACGCGAGCATGTTTTGTTGAGAGTTTAAACGTCTTAATTCTTCCATCGACGGGGATTGTCGAGTCTGGCCTCTAAGAAACCCTCTCACAGGGACAGAGAGACACTTTCCGGACGATTTCCTCTCCGGTGTAATTACACTCACTATGTGACAGTGAAAGAGGACCAGGATAAGCGAGATAGCAACCTGGAAACTAATCCGGGAATTTGAATTACGTTATGAGATACATTAGCAAAAGTTAAAGACTGAAAGGAGACAACACAACACATTTAAAGGGACAGTTCACCCAAAAATGATGTGGTTTAGAACGTGTACTTATATAATAAGTCAGTTCATTTGTATTTATTTTTAAAATAGTCATACAGGTTTGGACTCATAACAGTCCCTCCAGGATTTCACGATTTTTTTTTTGTGATTTTTGCGATCAAAATGACTGATTTTGTGGTGGTAATTTCCAAAATTTTGTGAAAAAAAATTGCGATTTATATATAACATTTACCATAATAATATTCAGTCCTTCCAGAAAAACGCGGAGTTTTTTTTTGTGATTGTTGCGGGCAAAAATTGATTGATTACGCGGCCCGTTTTCCTTAAAAATGCGATGGAATATGCGGGATATTTATGCAATTTTATGCGATGAAATTGCAGGAATTTGCAAAAATTGCGGTTTGATGAAAAAGAGAAAAAAAGTGATTCCCCCAACATCCTGTTCTCACTAGGCTAATGTAAGAGTCATTTCTTATTACTTCCTTTGACAAGCAAGCATACTACATCATAGAAAGTGCTGGAATATTTAATTTCTCATCTTGTTTTATTTCAGACTGTAACGAGTGTAAATAAGGCGTGGCCCCTTTAAGAGCTCTCTGCAGTGTTATATGTGCGCCTCGAACACCACATGTGTGCGGGTAATTTCTGTTTGATGCTACTTCTTTTATCTTATGTTGTTTATTAAATAACGATGTGACGGTAGAACGAATGACAGAGAGTTATACGAGTTCGATTTGTGAGATGTCAATCGCCTCCGTGAGTCTGTCTGGCGTCGCGTAATTGCGTCACTTCATAACGTTCCCATGGAAACAGGGGTAAATGGCTGCTCTTGTGTGAAGCAAACGCAACATTTTTTA